TTTATTATATCCTGATACATAAAACCAGAGAACTCAAAGAGGATGTACTTTCTTTTTCACACGACTGTACATGTGATACAACAATTTTCAGAGAAATTAGAATAGAAAATTAGACTATTTGTTGCTTTCAAACCATATAAGAAAACATGGTATTATATGGCTACTTATTTCATTACAAACTGCCACAACCCAGGAACTGGAACTGACACAAGAGCAGGAAGGCGACTGACATCTAACCCACCAGCACTGAGAAGAAATAAATGAGGATGTGACAGGAGCCCAATGTGTCACAGTTCCAACTATTTGAACTGATTCAGCTGATTTCCTACCACTAATGCACAAGAATGCCAAATACTAGGTGATTCTCGAACATAGCCTGTTACAGCAGGGGATTTTTTCTGGATCCTGAAGAAAAGAGAACTACCACTCAGGAGATGTGGCAACTGTCTAAATACATAATTCTCCCTTTGCCTTAGCATCGCCTTTGTCAAGTATCAGTGATTATTTACTATTATCTTATTTGTAAACTGAAGCATGAAGTCTTATATTAATACCCACAAACCAGCCATGTAGTCAACAAAAGAATTGTAGGATCAGAGGGGAAGTGATGTCAGAGAACATCTAGTCCAAACAACAGAATCCTAGGACAACAGCACTGGAAGTGACTTCAGGAGACTTCTAGTCCAACTCCATGCTTAGTGCAAGAACCGCTAAAGTGTTTCTGAGAGATGGGTATCCAGTTCCTGCTTGAAGACCTCCAGTAAAGGGGAACATTCCACTTCATGAGGCAACCTATTCCACTGGTTGATGGTCCTACCATCAGGAAATTCCTCCTAATGGCTAACTTGAAAAGCTCTTCATCTTCAGACCAAACTGAGTCTGCACAAGCACCTATCCCCCAATTATCCTCTCACCACATACTCTTTAACCACTACAGATCTTTTTGAAAGTCTCAAATAGAGACTGCAGAAGGGAGGAAGTGGAAGAAAATTTCCCTTGCATGTATGTCTTTATGCTATTACTGCACTGGGTACAATCCATTATTTTATCACTACATTTTATTTAAGTGATTTTTCATAAAAAAAACATGTTCAGATGACTATCTTTTAAATGTGCAACAATACTGGAAATATAGAAATAAAAATTAGACATTAACATCAATGAAGTTTTTTCTAGCCTGAAACATATCAGCCCACTAAGACTTATGAAATGTTAGCTGAGGGAGCTGAAAGGAATTGTGTCTTATTTCTTTCCTCTTCAATTAATTTTAGCATGGCTGCTAAGAAACAAACAGGCAAAACAATAAACAACATTGAGAAAAGCAGAAAAAAACAGTACAAGTTCTTCTGTGAAGGAAGTGTTCTTGTAAGATCATTAAGCTGATTGCCAAACAAACACAACTCTAAACAAAGAACACACTACGGATATCCAGAATGTTGCAACTTAATATTTTTTATGCTGTGCTTTGCATGGCTGAATTTAAGCTCTGTCAGATTTATGCCTGGATTGTTAATAAGATACCTGGACAAAAACCTGGATCCATTTAGGAGTATGGAGGAAAATTACTTCTGAAAATGCATGGAATCCTCAGAAACACTATAATATAGCAAAGAGTGGTCACATGGGGAAGAGGTAATACCATTGAGGATTGTTTGCTCCTGAGAATTATTTGTTTGCCTCCTCCTTATAAACCATCCAGCATTTAGAGAGAACTATACTGTTTCCAAGGGAATCCAAGAACTGGGAGTAGGTTCGGCTTATCTGTTCTATTCCTATTTGGCTGCTTGATGATTAAATGACAGTTTGCATGTGCTTTATTTATTTTATTTTATTTTATTTTAATTTATTTTAATTAATTAATTAATTAATTAATTTGTTTATTTGTTTATTTATTTATTTATTTATTTATTTATTTACCCACCCACCCAGCCATGCACTTGCATGCCGGTCCC